GCCGTGGACAGGGTCGATAGGCAAGGCCTCCAGCACTCGTACGTGTGGCACAGTAGAACTACAGACGTGCGCGGGGTTAATCAGCCACCTGGTAAAACAATGTTTAAATACCATACAATACACCCAGCGGGGATGCGGCTGTGTGCCGTTGAGGGGTTCGGTATGTTGAGAATGTTGCCCCTTATGAAGCCTGCATGCATCGCCCATGGCTGCCTAGACCACGCTATTCGAAACGAAACTCCAGTCATGCACTCAGAAACGCGCTAAAACAGTATTGTACGGCCCTGTACGACCCTCATGTGATTTCATGTTATTGTGATAAATGTAGACGATAATGATTATTTATTAATTTTAAGCGGATATGTAGTACTGATAGCTGTACGTCGTGGCAACAAAAATATTACTGTAGTACTAAACTGTTATCTTTTAGACTACTCGCGTAACAAGCACCCCAGTTTTCTGCGGACTGCAATGTACCGAAAAAAATATGAAGCTAAAAAAGAGAATGAGTGATATATGTATAGTAACTATAGTATTCCAAACTGCATACTAACAAGGGCCTATATCGGCTTTATCTTACTTTTAATTGTAAACAAGCAAACAAAAAAACTTTTATATTCTCATGTGGTGTACTTATATAAGTGTGATCGATATAATGTGATAAATATAGCATCAAATTGATTTAACTATTATTTTTGACCCCCCAGAGATGAAATAGATCAGTTTTATTTTGTGTACCAATGAATGTTATTTTTTTCCTCCCCATCTCGAAACAGTAGACATTGATAAGAGACAACTAAAACGTAACAGAGAAAATGGCTCTATGAGTAGAAAAATAAATGAATAAATAAATTGAAAACAATACAAATGTGACTTTATTTTTTATGATAGTGATCAGCCCACCATCAACTATACAGCTGTTCATGTGCTCAACGAGTGTGGTCGGACAAACAGCAACTCGCCAGGGCCAAGCGTAGGAAACCGAGGCCTAGGAGATGCTCGTCTCGTCCCCAGACACACGACGACCTTGTTTCTAGCTACACAGTTGTAGCTACAACCGACGCGGCCACAGGCAGCTCAATTGAACGGACTAAATACATTGAGAATCAGTCAAAATCGCCCAATAGCTCCTATACCCACAAAAGAATATCAGAATGAGAATGAACCACATTTTGATTGAAAGACCCCCATGAACTCCCCTGCCCGTGGGTGTCTGTGCTCCCCCTCTGCTCTTGTTTCAGCAGGGTCCTGATCTAGGTCCGGCTGACGGCGGGGGCGGGGGTTGTGTCGAGGACCCAGGGCCAAAAGCGCCGGCAAGTAGGCAACCTCTCGCACGTGTGGTTCTCCCCTCCCTCCTCTTCTCCCCCTCGTAATCTGAGGCAAGGCAAATGACTCTAAATGACAACGCCTGCGGCGCTTTGGGTAGGCCCGCCCGCCAAATGTCTGTGTGGAGTTGGTGGCCTACCCTCAGCGCCTACCCGCTGCCGATACCCCCTGCTCCTGCTCTCTCGCCAAACTAACCAGATGGACGCACATAACCTGCAACGAGGCTATACGTGCAGCAGCGCAACACTGTTGTTTGGGATAATGGGCTTTTGGTTGTTTGTGACTTCGCGGAGGTAAGAAACTGCTGTCGTCATATTTTACTTTTCTTCTAGTTTGTCTGCCTAAATTGTAGATTCGTCAACATAGTGTCATCGAGACACCTCTGTCTATTCGTAGATCCGGCAGAACGCAAACGTGATAAATCTCTTACGTAAACTTACTTACATAACCTCGTTTTGAACTTACTACTATGTACCAATTTTTTTTTTGACGTTTCTGTAAGGCATATTTAAATGCATTGTAAAAATATCTGCTGTTTCACTTTTATCAATCGTACTTCTATCATGTCTGAGGTGTTACGTGTTCTTAGATAAGTACAAACAGTTAAAGGGTGACACTGCATTGGGAGGTACTTGTTCTTCACCTAGAAGGTGAAGTGGGCTGTTAAAGATAACGAGTAATGAAAGCCTCAAATGGCCTCAACTGAAAAATTGATTGATATTTTTCATAAAGTTGGTACAGTGAATGTAACCAAGGCCCTGGAGAGTAATTGTAAGCCCTCCTCATTCCGTCACCCTCACAGCTCCAGTTCATGACACTCTTCGTGATAGAGATGCAGAGGTACGGAGGGAAATAATAATAGTAAGTAATGTGAGAATGGTTTTACAATAGTGCCAGTTTGCTCATTTTCTGTCCTTAGGTAATAACTGTAATTAATCTCAGATACGGGCCGAAAATTTTTTGTGGGATTCTAATTTTTTGTTCACCTTTAGTGAGCTGGCAGAAATAAATCTTGAAGCCTCTGGGATCCCCAATGTCTTTTACCTTCTTGCTGCTCTAATGATTGCGAAAGGGAATGGAGGGCACTGTGAAGCAGGACTGGAAGAAACAATTAAGGGCTTAACAATTTTGCTAAGTTTTACTTTATTTATTTTCATGAAATCTTACAAATATTAATTATGATGTGTTTAGGTTCATGTTTATCTTTCATCTCTTCTTTGATTTTGTACATTTTTCTGCTCAAAGTCAGGCAGAAATATTTTAGTCCGTGCCAACTGAATGCTCTTATTCCTGTAATGTATGATATGTAAAGTAAATAGAAACAGAGATAAAAGTGCATGAATATTTATAATATTCCACCAGTGAACATTTTGACATTGAGTTGACATTGTTTGTTCTTGGCAACGCTTTTGAAGCATGGCATGCTACTGTTATGCAGCTACCTGAAACTGTAAGGAGTCCAGGGAGGAGTTGGTGTCACCATGATATATATAGACCAAAATTCTTTTTTTTACCCTGTTGCAGGAAGACCGTCCATTAGTTGCATCTGCGCTTGACATAAGCTAAGCAGCCGTTAGCTGTCACCCGATGTATTCTGAGTCGGCGTCACAGCACACAGCATGAGAAATGGCCCCTTTTTCATCTGGTAAGTTTTTGACTTTTCATTTAACATTAACAGAAAATATCAATACATTATGGAAGAGTCATGTGTGGTAGAAGTTAATTCTGGTATGTGTTTCTATTAGGGGGTTGCTTGTCATATCTTTGCTGTTGGTCCCTATGCTACCTACAAATGTACGGCTTATTACTTGATCCTAGTGATTGATTTTAGTGGAGGGAAGTGGAAGAGGCAAATCATCAGTGTCAATTAAGTAATGCTGCTATCTATCTATCTATCTGTAAATTGATTGTGTATTAGGCTTTGAGTAAGCCAAGAGAGTATGAACCTCAGTCTAATTTCTTTTGTGAGTCTAGCTATTTGCATTGACCATTCAAGTTGTCTTTTCTAATTTGTTTTAAATTAAATTGTCATTTCTTTATTGCTTTTACACTTACTCCATGTATATGTTGTTGTGTGTTAATTTGAGTGGAGGGACAAAGAGGCCAATCATCAGAGTGTCAGTTACTGTAATGCAGCTATTTATTTCATTTGTATGGTACAGTCGTAGTAAAATAGGAAGTGATGCTGCTTCTTGTCCAAAGGGATGTGCCTGGACTTGATGACAGCCACCTGTAACATAGAAAGTTCATTCGATGAGTTGGCGTCACAGTTATACAGATGGACCAAACACTTTTGTGTTGAACTCTGAGATAATTTGAATTTAACTTAGACTTTTTCCACTCTTTTTCAGGAATTTAGATTCGCCCAAAGTCACCAGCCGAAAGGAGCCAGCTACTTGAGGAAGATGTACTCTTATAATGTAAATGATTTGAAACAATAAAGATTTAAATTACTATCCGACATTTTACATTATTTCATAGACCTGATTCTACGCTGCAGTAACTGTGGATGTAGTGGTAGACTGCCACCACTACAGCAGTGACGTCACGGGCGTCTCGGATGCAGCTCT